ACCCTTTTAACTACAGGTGAAAATTGAGTTAATGGAGAAGTGTACTTTAGTGTCATCAAAAGACGACAAAACTAAAGAACTCTGCCCCCAAATTAAGGTAACGAGGCCTATAACTATTGGGCCCTGAAGTTGTTAAGTTGATTTTCTAAGCGCCACTTGAGTTAAGCGATGTTAATACACACCGCTTTTTCGAACAAAGTGCAGGCTTCAACACTTAATTGGCTTTCATTGCTTGGCTTGAGCGAGCCCGCCCAGTAATTCTGAATTATCCGAGTTTTTATTGTAACAAGTCTAAATAAGCCGGCACAGCTGGTTACTGAAAAGTGTGTTTCCTAAATATCCCCTCGTTGTAAATAGCGCCTCGGCCTAAATCGACTGAATGCCAAATCGTGCTGTCACAAAACTGATTAAAAGTATCTTTCCCCTCTTTCTTTCAAACGCAAGCAGGTTCCACATTCATAAGGCTCGCAGTTTCCAAAGCATTTCTTATCAGGCGACATTCCATAGCTTTGACTGGTGCCTGCTACTTCAATTCAAAACCCTCGATGAAGCAGGTACGAAAAGAAAAAAAAAGCGCATTTCAACCTCTTGTGAGTTCAACAGCCATGTTTAAGCAGTTTCTGGGTGCAATTAAAAATCGTGTCGTTTAAGAATACAACAATCTATCCCGAGCTTTCCGCTCCTATTCTTACCATATGTTACTGAGGTGGGAAAAGTCCTTTTTTAAGGGCATGGCCTGAAATTCTATAACAATGGAAATTTTCAGCGAGGCAGGTGTTGTATAAATCGAAGCGCCCCATTGAACAAAAGATTCTCATATCAAAGAGAACTGCTGAACCCCTCACCTAATAAAATATAATTTGGCTGCCGACGATGACATCCAATTTAAAAAATACATTTATTCACGTGTAAACTTCAAACAATTACTCGTCGAAAGATTTATGAATTCGTCAATCGTCAAAAGTCATCAATCACGAATTGAACATTTCCTGATAGAAGTTTTAGCCTTAAAGGCCGTTACAGATGTTACAAACCCTAGCGGCAATCAAATCTGTTTTGTAGTTTCGTGTGATTTATCACATTTCTGACTCGCAACCGAACAAATGAAAATATAAATTTTTGAGAAATAAATGATGAAGTTTGATATGTGCTTACTATGAAAGTTAACAGAAAAAAAGACTGCCTTCATTAGCTCCTGTCACCAGCTAAACTAGGACCGACAGCAAATGAAGCTCAAATACTTTGTTAATTAAAAAATGAACAAATTGGGCTTTGGTTTGTATGTTGAACTGTGCGTGTGAAATATTTCCTTGTTAGCCTTCAGTGCCGGCGTTTATCCGTTCTTAAAGGAAATCCCGGCCAGCAGTGGCTTTCGAATTTCCAGAAAGGCCGGTACATCGGGGAAAAACTCATTGTTGAACATGACATGAACTGTTCCGGGAAATCATAACCCTCGGAAATTTTAATTGGGTGAAGAAATTCACATCTGAAATAATTCAACGAGTTTCCTTACACGTAAAGAAAAATAAATTTCTTTGTTTTTTACCAACTGTCCTCTTTCTCAGAAAACCTCAGCAGGGAATCCTTCCTGTACCACGAGTAACAATGAAAAATAATTAAGCTTAACAAGCAATCCATGAATAGCAGTCTTAAGAATGGCCGTTTTCAACCGAAATATATTTTTTTCTAATTTTCCCTTCTAAACCTGAACATTAGGCCCGCGCGTTTAGAAGGAGCCCACCTTTCAAGGGTTTATGAACTTGTTCTAGCCATTTCGCCGGCCCCTAAAGTCATCGACAACGAAACACTATCCAACCACAAAAGCATAAGTTAACAGATTGCTACTGGCAATTTCAATTGAACAAGATATTCAAGTAGCTTTTTTTGTCATAAGTGCACGTTAAACCGTATAACAACAGATGGGTTTTAAAAGAAAAAGCTTAAGATGTGTTTCCTTCGCCGATCAACAAATAAAATTGTAACAAACTGGGAGTTTGCTTTTAACAACCCTACAAGCAGATTTTTTTTTCCTTCAGCTGAGGCATTCAAACTCAACACATTTCGATTCGACGGTAGTGCTTAGCGTTTAGTTATTGTGTAACTTAATTGACTTTAACTTGAGAAATAATTCTCAGAAGTTTACTAGTCTCTCAGTGGGGGTTATGATTTTATGATGGTATCCACTTTGCCGGTTCGCAACAAGCTAATAGAAAAGCAAATAAACACAAGCGACCGTACTTGATTTAATTAGCGCCATTGTTTGCAAGAGCTTCACTTTTGGTCAAGTGAAATTTACCCACAGTGTTGTTTGGAACGTCCACGTGTAAAATAAAGAGATGTTTAATTCATACACACACCTCAAGTGAAGATTAAGAAGATTGTATTCAATTCTAAGGGGTTTAGATGAAATAACTCCTTTTCTTTTCAAATAAAAAGTGTGAAAGCACAGGAATACAAAGAAACCACTCAAATCTTTCTTCAAAAGCCGAAAAGCAATCTTTTCTAATACCGAGATTTTTTTCCATCGATATGTGAGCTACACGGAAATCAAAATTCCTCTCGACAGAAACACGACAATTAAACCACCCAAAGCCAAAATGTATTTCCTAATTTCATTATCGAATGCGCTTGCGGCGGAGCGCGAAATGTAAACATTCCTACTATAAACAACCCTATTAACACGTACAAAATGTTATGTAAATACCAACATTTACCTTTCTAATTTAAAAGACACCTTGTTAAAACCGTGTTTAACATCCAGCCTTTATACGCGCACGCCGTTTCTAGAAGCGAATATGTGTTGTCTAAAGGTTCATCCACCGCGAAACCCACAAAAACCAGTGAATTTAATTTTCACCAGATTCTTATCGGTTCTGACAGACAAGGAAAGGTCTGCAAACAATAGGAACCTAGTCAAATACCCTTGCGACAACCGGACAATCGATTGGAGACAACTACGTTGGCAACGCATGCTGAACGCGCACATGAGCGTTCTTTCAAATACGACTGGATACTCTTCGAGCGTTTGACTTTACAGGTTTAATCTCTTTAGATGTCAGCCGAAAGTGAAGAGGGGGGCGTACCTTCGCAATTTGCACTCAGATTTGAACAAGCCGGTAATATGACCGTAGCTGGAAGAGTTTTTTAACATTCTCTATAATTAACACTTGTACTGCAAGCCTAAGGCAAGTTGACCCTCTAAATCGGTTTCCCTATTATGCGTCTCTGTTCGACCAGAGGAACAATGAGCTTTTCCGATTTAATGCAGGCTTGCAGCTGGAATCCTTATCGCCCGTTTAAATTGAAGGTGTCATTGATTGTACGCGAAGTCGTTGATGCGCTCTCAGAACAGGCAGAGCATCAATCAGGAGCGGCACATCAAAAGGTTTCTAATTAAATCTATCAGTTTTTAAGGCCATCGATAATTTCGCAAACCACGCCTGATGGCACAATATTTTGCTTGCGTGTGCGTTGAAAACTCAGGCCGGTGAGTCGAAGCGCAAAAGCAACTTTACATGTATTAGAACTAACAGCTAAGAAGATTGAAGGGGAGGTATTACGCCAAACCACCCGTATCAACGTATCTCGCCTTCAAATCACTGCAGATTGTTACTTCGGCGGGGCCGCTTTGATCATCGTCAGGTATGAATAACTTTAATATGCCCACGTATTTTAGCATTTTAAGAGAGTTCTGAAGAAAATCAGTGTTTACAAAACGTTGCTTGCTAATGCATTCGCTTGGAGTCGTACAGTTTTAGAAACCAGATTATGCCCCATGGCCCAGAAATTGCAATACATTCGAGTGCCGGCAAACTGAAAGTAACTTAATACTAATTTGACTGCGCGCATCACGTCGAGAAACCAAACAACGCTCCTTACACTGTTTCCATTCTCTTCAACGAGGTCCATTTAAAATTGCCTTGTCTCTTTTCGATTCTTTTATTTCAGAGAAACTTTCTTATTTGTTAAAACATCTAGGATTTATTGACGGGGATTAATTTTGTATCGTATTATTATATTGTCTACTTACTGAATCCATGGTGAGAGTGTATACATACATAATTCTTTATGATAGCAGCAAATCTTTGTTAAAGCGATTCTCTGCGGGAAATCCGCTTAAAAACGCCACATAGTGCGACGAAACATTCACCATTTATACAAACCCATTACAAAGTTGTAATCTTTCGAGAAACCCCGCCGATAAAAATTAGGAACAACAACAGAATTTTTAACCGACTCGTGTATCCGATGGGGTAAATTAAATTGGACTTAAATGTAGTCGAGAGTTCTGTGGAGCAAACAACACTCTTTGAAATAAATTGCAATTATCATCCTTGCTAGTTAGAAAACAATTACCTCCGTCGCCGTGAAAATCACATCTCAAAACAAGCTAAAATTAAATACATCCTTTGGAATAATCTCGGTGCCGGCTCTTAACACGAAATCTTTTAAGGAAGTAAAACAGGTTTCTGAATTAAGGAAGTATTCAGTCGTCGAAGTCGAATTTCAAGACGTGTTTTCAATCGTAAACAAAACATGGAAATTTTTTTTTAGTCTATGCACGGATCAGTAGTCGTAAAGTGGTGCGTCTTTATGGCATCATATTTACTGAACAGCCCTCGACCGCCCCCTTTCTCAACTAAATAACGCCCCCGACTCACTGTGTGCCACCCACAAGCTGATATTTATATCTAAAAAATCTCTCGACAAAGCAGGAACATTGGTCTTTCTGAGCACCGGTCATCATAACGAGCTAGCATAGCGGACACTATAGTATAACGCACGAGTTGAAGTACACAGAAACTTATGTCGCAGTGTAAAGCTTTTCCAATTGAGACAATTATGGCTTCCGATTCCAATCGAGAGGTGTGAAGTGGCAGAACTCGAAATCTTAGCCATTGCAGCTGCAAGTGTTTTGGCTAGATGTAATTGTCAACATTTTGGCGAGCTCCGAAATTACACTTTCAACGCCCGCCTGAAGGCCGATAGAGTTGGGCCTTTGTTTGTTGGTATGGATTGGTTGCGAATAATGGTTCCATTTGGAAAAACTTATTATATATCAACAAATCCCTATCATTCAATCACATTGTGTCATGAACGGCCCTGCTGTATCGCTGATTGGCTATGAACGAGAGTGGCGGCATCTCAAAAGGCTACGTACTTGGGGTTTAGGCTGAATTGAATCAACAGTCCATCTCAGAGCTCGTGGGGCGTAGAAGTGTTCGTGAATTTGCCGACAAAAATAGATCACAGAACTTCCCTAAATCAACCCAAGCTTAAATTCTATGAGAAGGTTTTTTTTCCATCAGGTTTGTTCCGTTGTATTTGTACAGGAATTTAGTGTGATTTGATTAGCAACTTTAAGCTGATTACACCACGCGCGCTAATACGATATGTTTGACGGCCGCTGCTCGCTTCTGTACACGTTTCATTTTGTACTTCTTGCAGGAGCCGGGAACACGGACAGATTACAGATTGACACCTCTTGCGATGCTCGCAGCGACTTGCAGTAGAATTGGACAACAATCCCCGCCACCCGTAGCTGACGTGACAAGCATGGCTAAAGGTTTCTACCATTGGAAACAACCGAATTCCCTTCCAATTCAGCGCGGAAGGCCGACTGACAGTGGCTTGTATTCAAATCTGCCGTCCGCCTTTATGCCAACCAGCGAATCTTTAAGCGTTCAGAATCACGACAGCTTTCTCAGCAATCCGAGCTATACAACAGGACACAATTCGCTCACAGATCCATTAGCTATCGCATCGGCGAGTCGCGTTCATTCTGCTTCTGTTGAGGCATCAATTTATCCAGCGCGGATGCCGCATCCCTACGAAAGCTCGCCTTGGTTTAAACCACCTTTAGAACCCCATTCACAGGCTTCAGCTCGGCAGGCGTTCTGGGAAGTACACAGTAATCCCCCCTGGCTCGACTCAGCCGTATCAGGCAGCTCGTTTCATCCAACGTTAAGCCATTTTACAGGACTGCCGCATGAATACTCTACAGGAAGTTTACCTATTCCTGCTGCGGTTTCTGTGGCGAGTCATCCGCATTTTCTACCCCCTCCCTGCCTCGGATCCGATCCCATGAAAGCTTCTCTTCCTACGTATATAGATGGACCTTCTTACTTTTCAGGGACGACAAGTTTATTGCCTTCTACGCAGAGTGTGACTGCAAGAGCGACTCGACGCTACACTGGTCGCGCGACCTGCGATTGCCCCAACTGCCAAGACAACGAGAGATTAAGTGCGGCTGGTGCACCTTTTAGGAAAAAGACTCAACACATTTGTCACATTCCGGGCTGCGGCAAAGTGTACGGGAAAACCTCACATCTGAAAGCTCATCTCCGCTGGCATACTGGCGAGCGGCCATTTGTGTGTAACTGGTTGTTTTGCGGAAAGAGATTCACTCGATCTGACGAACTGCAGAGACATTTACGGACGCACACTGGCGAGAAACGATTCGCTTGCCCCATCTGTAATAAACGTTTCATGCGGAGTGATCACCTGGCAAAACACGTTAAAACCCATAACAATGATACGGTGAAGAAAGGAGAGTCAGAAAAGGAGGAGAAAGAAGACGAGAAAGCCACAAACGGCGCTGACATTGAACGCGCATGTAACCTGTCTGAAAATGGCGAAAGTAACAGCCTGAAGGTTGCTTAGCTTGTCAAGGCTGGAGAGTAGTAAGACATTTCGATTTTATTGATAAAATGTTTTTTCTCCTAGGTCTATGACGCTCAACCTAACATAGGAAAGCTTTGAATTAATGAAAGAAAATTTATCACTTGAAACCTTTGTGAACTCGGCGAACGCGAGATAGTGTTAACGTTGTACATATTCGTTTGACGTCGGCTCGAGACGTTAAAGGTATAAGATTTCCAAGTTCAAACTAGTTCAAACGAAACATTCACATATGGCTCTCACTACTAAGGTTGATTAAGGTTTTTTTAATCTTTGCAAAGGGACTTCAATTCGGATCGAAGGTAAATCTTTCTTGATGAGTTAAACATTGCCTAGAGTGAACGGAGTAACAAAGACAATTTATCACTTGTTTGAAACAGAGAAAACATTTTTATGCTATCAAAATGACAAATTTTGAGCCTTGTTCAATTGTATTTAAATACTGTATATTGGAAGTTATTTAATTGAACAAGACATCAAAGATTCATCCTTTAATATTTACCATTGAGTTGTACATAAAACCTAAAAAAGCAAAGCTGGACCTTGAAACTAAATTAAAGAGAGAGAGAGGGTACTGTTTCAATTGCAAAGATTGTGTTTGAGTTATGATAGTGCTTTTTTATCTACAAATTTACGTCTCTTCTCGAGTACGAATTACATCATTTTCACAATTAGAAAGACATAATACTCAGAGTTTCAGACACACTGGATTCCTGATGTGATCTATAATGGCTTTCCGCGGTGCATATAAATGGCTTTCTATCAGTCACGAGTAGTATTGGAATTGAAATGGCTTCCCACTGCAATATAGTTATAAGTCTATCGATAACCACTTTAAAGCATTGTTTTTTTCGAATATCCACGATTAAATCCCCGGCTTACAAGTGTTCGGCTTGTAGATATGTATTCTCTAAATTATTATCCTTTCCGATCCACAAGATACAGCTTCGTTCCGGGTGGTACTTTAAATCGAACTGTTTTATCAAACCGTGTGAAAAACTCTCTCCGTGGTTTAAAACTTTAGGGATTAACACAGATTTATTTCCCGTTGTGGTTGAATGCCAGTCAAGAAACTCACTTAAAAAGCGGTTATTTTACAATGGCACTTGAAATAATTCGCCAGACATGCTTCGTTTTCTTTTATTTACAAAGCACACAGAAATTGACCCTAGCTAAATCTAACACATTTTTACAGAAGATGGCCGCAGTTTTTTGAAAAACATTAATGCGATGGCTTAGTGAAAGCCTGGGTAAATAACTACCTTTTCAGAATATTCCCTTCTCTCTCTTTCCACGGAAGTTCCGAGGCGAAAATAAACTCACTTTACTTCTCTTTAGCTAGATTTTAAAATCTTTTTGATTTACTTTACAATATAGGGACAAAACTTGACCAATTGAAAACAAAAAAATTTCCCTGCAATACGTGCAGGCTTTTCGTGTCTACTCCAAGTTGAAATGCAAAAAAGTGCGTGCGAGGGAAATCGAGCACGAAAGTCTCTAAGTAGTAAAGTTGATTTGAGAGGAAACGTTTTATTTGTAAAGCTTATCAATTCTCTTGAAGTGCTTTTTTACACCCATTTTGAACGTTTCTCATTCATCTCGTCAAGATACGGGAAGACGTAATTATTTCCACTATTCAGGCAGTTAATACCTCTAGTTCGACCAGCCGAGTCTTCAATCTTCATTAATTTAGGAGACATTGTAGGTTGCTTGCCGCCGTACGGGTGTCACATTCGGATAATTGGAATAATCACAAAGCAAGCTGTTTGACAAGCTGGCACTCCTCCTGGACAACTTTTATATACACAAATTCCTTTTTCTCCCGCTTTCTTTACTTAGTTGTGGGTACTAGAGAAAAATGGCTGTTTAGCGCGCGTTTTGCGAATGGAGGCACCCCGCATGAAACTTATCGCGAACGTAAAGACATCTTCACGCTTGAGAAATTGAGTTTAATTCTCGCCTAAACACAACATAAACAACTCCGCGTGGAGCGGGAACGGATCAGATTTCCTACTTCGCCCAAGGCTATGGAAAAAATTGTGATTGATGTAGGTCATATTTATTAAAAAGAAGTCGCGGTATTTTTGTGAGGGAAAAAATACAGAAGTCATCGGCGACCGGAAAACTTTTAACAACAAAGAAACCACAAGGAATTAGCGCAACGACCTTTATGTCCTTTGCGTAAAAGATTTTTCTAAAAGACTCTTTGCTTGAGATAATCACTGTTTTTGTTTGTTTCTGCCTTTGATGATATGGCAATTTTAATTCAGTGAGTCCCTCGAGAGCTCTGTCTTTGAGGGCTTAGAACCACCTCAGACACGCTTAATAAACATGCTCAAATTAGAGCTTGGACGGGATGCCGACAAAGGCTCCTCGCGACCGCCTCTTCTAAATTAGTGATCAACTTCTTTCGATTGTCTAGCGAGGTATTACTGCAGTGTGTTGTTTTTTCGCTATTATGAACAGGAGGAAAATAACTCTTGCCCGGCCTAATTGCTTTCACAACAGTAACTCAAGGCTTTTAATTATCGCAGGCCCACCACGCATTAGAAGTCGCAGCCAGTTATCGAAAGGTTGTTTAGGTATTTAGATCGAAGTGAAATCCATTTTTCTAAGTAGAATGCTAGGGAAGGCTTTGACGCAAGTATAATTGGGTTTGCATTTAACGGCTTACGATAATTATCGAGGCGTCTCGTTTAATGATACATAATAGTTCTCAAAATATTCCTTTTTCCCTACTTATAACTCACATCAGGGGGTTCCCCTTGCACTAAAGCACGGCCAAAATTGCACGGAGACATTGCGGAAATCTCGAAAAATTACACTTAGTTGTGTTTGCAAATTCAAGCTGTATGCGTGAAAGCAAAACAAAGTTTTAAACCCTAAGGGCTTATGGTAGAAAATATTTCACAAACAAAAGAAACTGAATTCATAGCTTCTCAAGATTGTGTGAGGGTGCATTCATGCGTTAGGACCCACACGTATTTACTTATTGTCAGTCTCCCTAAATATCGACACCGACTAACCGCGTCCAAAAGTTAATGTAGGTCATTAAAATTACAAGAAGTTTTTGAAAAAGAAATGGTCTGAGCCAGGAAAAAAGATAAAACTTTTTTTGCCGGGCTTTAAGCTTTGTCCTTTTGATAAACCTTTTTTCCTGATGCAGACGAAAAATTGAAAGCAGAGATGTTCCGTTTATTGGTTCCTACATCCTACGCAAAATGCTTAAGCTTTTTGTTCGTACCGCAGCGGAGGAAACGTTGTTTTTTTTTTGGCTTCTGCTCGCGGTGCCTTGTAGCGGAGATTCGTGACACAGTCAAATGAATGCCCTGCGGACAATTTTAAAACTGTATATCGTTTAATATTATCAGATGTAGGTTAAGATGTTTCCACGATAAAATTATAGCCCGCGACAAAACGTCAGTACGATCTTACTAAGATTTTTGTTAGGGAGTTCTGCGGTTCTTTTAAAACTTTCGCTTCAAGTGTTCCATCTTTAAAGATAGAACAAAAATATTAATTCTTGTGTGACAATTAATTCCCGCAGATGGTTCATTTTTTTTCTATGTCCTTTTCATCCTCTTCTTGCCAAACAAAGAGAGTCGTTTTAAGATTCCTGTGTAAGGAAAAAGGCATACCTTTCGCTCATCAACTTCCAATACGAAAACAGCTGTGTCCAGGTGCGGATAACATCAAAGGATTTGGCTGCGACTTGCCCAGCCCCACAACTTAACCGATACAAAATATCTGACTAGAGCGCTATCTTCAATGAGTTAAACCTGTTTTAAGTAAACATATCTATTGAAAAATCGAGTTAAGTGAGATCTTGATAAAAGATTAAGAAAAATTAGTAAGACAAGGAAACAAACGCTCTTTATCACTGAATTTTCAAAACCACACTTAATTTGTGTTCGGTATGATTTCCTTCTGTAGTTGAACAGATGAATGAAATAAGTTGATCGAAAGGGAAGCAGGGAAGAATGCTGAAAATTATTGAGAGATATATTTAAAAATAAAGAATCACTTTCGAACTGAGTACCTAAACTTTCGTTTAATTGAAGTAACTTACGAGGGTCGAAAGTTTGGACAAAAGCTTACATAATATAAGTAAATAAAAAGTCAACGATTCGAGACACGGTTCCTCTATTTTCTTGTCGGGGAGACGCCCTTTCAAAAGAGAAGTTCTGGAATAATTTTTACTAGATTTTTGAATTAAATAAACAATGAATATAATATTTCGCAAAGGAAAATTTTCATGAGAAACATCGAGCATGAATGCAGATTTTTGCGAGGGCAGATTTGATAATAATAATTCAAACTGTACATTAATTCAAACTTTTCAAGAGAGTAGCCGAGCTGAAGTAAATAACACACAGTAACCTCTCGCCCACAGCGATGGCGAATGGCGCACCTTGAAAAATCGTGGGTCTTCGCTAAATTTTTCACCCGATCTAGCAAATGTATCAGCCTTTCTGTAGGGTCTTTTAAAAAAGTCTCACATTTCTTACAAAGTCATTTAAGTCTGGGATTCGTTATTAGTCGAGGTTATAGGTCTAACGGAAGCTTGATTAGCCCAGGATTATCTTTTTGAGCGAAGAAATTCTGTGTATTATTGCTGTTGTTTGAAAATATTGTAATGTAGGGGGTGAGTTATCACAAAAACGAACGCATGGGAGTATTACTACTCTATTCGATTTTATCGTGTTATTATCAGCAGCTTACAAAATTCTCATACAGCGCGCGACAGTAGAAATGTAGACTATAGCTAAAAATAATTGTCACTCTCGATCTCGGCTTTTCAAACAAGGATCACAATGTTCCGCGAGTTTCGTATTCATCCAGCATTCGCCCAACCCCTTCAGCTGGAAATCATTGATGCACATGTTTGAAATAGCCCTTATCAGCTAAAATAGATTTCGATGAGGACAAACAGCGTCGTATGTTTACAATTTCCTAATAGGAAACAGCTAAATGTCACCATCATCGAAGGTCGTGGCTTTCAAATTTAAATTAACAATTTTCATCTATTTCACATTCGATTCATTCCATCAAGGCGATAACAGAGTTTTCACTGTACCAATTTAAGAAGACCGTAAGGCGGTTGTCGAAAAATCAGCTAAATACACATAACTCATCGATAGTCGTGGCTTTGAAGTTTAAATTAACAATCTTGATCTGCTCCAAATTCAATTCTCCGACCCCAACAGGATAACCGAAGGAAGTAATGAGTGTGGCAAAATATTTAGTCCTCAGGGTACTCGGACAAAAACGAATACTATTTTAAACAAATGTGTGAGAGTGTGTTTATGTGAAATTGCAGAATCAATACGACGGAAATCATAAAGGGGAGTTTTTACTGAGCGAAAATGGCGTAACTGCAAAAACTTAGCAGTCATCGAAACATTAGTAGCCTTCTCATTTTACCACTAAAGATAAGCTTAAAAGCCTGCTTAAAAGGAAAGAAACTGAGTCATCTTTTTCCGATATAAACAGCGCATCGAGAAAATGAAACTTTCCGGCGCAGACATCTGAAAACGTAGCCATAGCTAACTGCCTAT